AAACCAGTTTGTGCTGGGACATATTTCCTGGTTGGTGGACTGGTCGATAGGATTTTCAAGGGTGTCAAATCAAAACCAGGCGTGATTACTCGTTAACATGCCACGCTGTTGACATGTCGGTTTCGGCATTGTGCAAATCTTTCCCACCGCGCGACATGCCTATAGCATTTGTGGGACATGCAGCGGCGAGGAACATCGGGGTAGTATCTGGCTCGTGCAAGAGGACTGGAAACATTGTACCTGTACAAGCATCCAAGGATTACCTGAAGCAGCTTCATCAGCTGTTCCAGGCTATCGACGAAAACTCTGAGGGTCGCATCACTCGCGAGGCAGGTCTATGGGCGCGCACACACACATACACTGGTGCCATCTGGAAACGTCCAGAATGAATCCACGGGTGTGGATGCGCACTGTCAGGCAGTGTAGGTATTACAAAAATCTCACTGCTATGCCCTGCCAGGTCTTGCAGCAAGCTTTCAAGCATGACTCCAGGCTTCAAGTAAAAGAGTGCTTGCATCGTCTGATATCTGATTTTGCTGCAGTGCGCCGCCGAAGCTAAGGAGACCATCCTTGCATACTTCTCCCATCTGAAGATAGATGTCCCAGATGCCGCTCGACAATGATGAGTAGAGGGAAGTTTGTTAGCTTCCGCCTGCAAGTTAACAACTAGTTCGTTCCCGACAGAGAAAGGGAGTATGTGTGTCCAAATTCGTGGAACTTCGAGTGCGGCAGAATTGAGAAGATCGATGCCTGCTCCAAGGCGGCCACGCTTTTCGACCTCTTGGACTTCGATCAGTCCGGCACGATCGACTTGGAGGACTCCTTGGGGTCTGTGTTCACATTGTTCCCAGACCGAAGTCTATAGCTCACGGACAGATATCTGCTGAGGAGTTTCTTCATGGTTGCTACCAACTCCATGGTGAGGCAACACACCTGGAAGCTAAGATGATGCAAGCAGAAGTGAGGCCAGCCGACTGACTTGTGTCGATGGAGTCCAGATGCAATTTGATGTCTGACCCACTGGTGAGGTTTATGAAGGAAAACTTGATCAAGCTTGTCGATGACATGCAGAAAGTGCATACACAGCTAAAGTTTCTGAAGCGATTGCCTTAGACGCCCATAAGAATGGCTCCGATGTTGTTCTTTTAATGTCTTTTACATTTGGCTGGAATGCCCAGCGCTTTTCAACACGCCCTGCTCGGCGTGGAAGGGCACATTGTTTGTGGTGGGTACCGCATGTACTCGGCCATATGTCCGAGGTGCGGGGGGGCGTGCCGAAATTCGCCAGCAAGGTTTTTGAAGGTGAAGTGCGACTTGAGACACAGCATCTAATCCAATCTGTTTTAGGAAAAGCACGTTGCTGTCTACTTCTACCGCTTCACTGAGTAGCTTTCGCCCGATCTGGTAATCAGTTCGAGGGTAATTATGAATGGCTGAATGTTGCACAAGCGACATCAGCTTCCATTTGCTGCGCAGGAGCAGTCTGCGTGCTAGGTTGCTAGGTGTGCACGGGGGGCTGGCCTTGCCAAGCTGCCGAACCCGGCACCCGAGGCACTTCTCTCGCCATCTTTGCACGAGAGAGGTTGAAGGACGAGCAAACATGCGATTCACGATAGATGACACGAGCTCCGGCTCAAGTATGCATGACAGCAAACAGAAGCTGGGAGCAGTTGTCGCCTAGATCCACCGCGGCTAGAAACTGAGCAGCTTTAGTGCACCGAGGTCGCAGGCAGCGGCACCCGGAGAGCCTGGTGCGCGGGGATGCCGTAGCAGTCATGGAGATCTGAATGTCTTGGACACGTCTGCAGCGGGTGCGGTGTCTGGGTTGTCGGATGGTTTCCAGCCTGCTGCCGCCTCTACAAGGAGTTTTTCTTACGGCAGCATGATATAGCAGTATCTGGACGAACTTCTTGAGTTTCCTTGCCAGGACTGAGGACACGGCCCGTGCGTGAGTCTGGCAGCAAGTGGCCGCAGAGCAGGTTTGGTGCAGGGCAAAATGCAATTATTGAGGTGGATACCCCAGTCACGTAAGGTGAAACAGTGGCTTGATCTTTGCCCTGCGTCGAGGACTTTTTCTTGTGCACGTTGTGATGAATTCACTTTGCTAGTAAGCTGCTAGTAGGATAGCTCTGCTGAGCCAGATGCTTCCAACATGACAAGTATAGGCATACCACAATGCATCTGCAGGTGCAAATGATCCCTGTGCTTCAGCACTAGATCCACCTCTAACAGCCTCGTCACTCGAATACGCAAGACTGTTGGAAGTGTCTCCTCGGACAGGTCAGGACGACTTAGCTCGCAAGTCCCTTCGTTGACAGGCTACCGCCTCACCAAAAGTGTCGCCCCTTCACGCGTTCACCAGATACTGGTCCCCCCTGGCCCTTCACGTCCTGAAGCGCGGCAAAACTACGTCAATAAGCACAAGTTCCTCGCCGCTAATTGGCGGGCGGCGGGACCTGGGCTGAGGCATGGTAGCTTAAAAGCTGTACGCTCGGTCCCCTCTATCTTCTTTCTCTGGGTTGAGTAATTTGATCAGAATAGGGCTTGGAGTTTAACGACCAGCAGGGCATCCGAAGCCAGACGAGAGTGCCTGAGTGCAGCAACAGTCATTTGAGCTGCACTCCCAATCCCAGCCATCGAATCGATTCACGGTGTCTGTCAACATTGGGGCCAGATTCTCACCCAGATGCTCAATCCTGGGATGGAGAGATGCGTAATCTGCGGGGCTTGCTATGCAGTACGAGGCCCAAGCGTACCCAAATCCCATGAGCATCTCTCAAGGGATGCTAAGGGCCACGCGCGAAAGACTGGATGATGCCGGTGCCTCCAAGCCTAGCATCAAGAAGACTAAGACTCGGAACATTGAGCCTGAGCCTAGGGCCCTGGAGCTCCTGCAACTTCCAGCCTGCCAGCCCGAAGGAAAAGAGGACTGTTGTGAGGCTATTTGTGCAGGTTTTCAGGCTAGACCATGTTTTGGACAAGATTAGGCCAATTCTACAGCATTCTGTTGTTGGCTCGCGGCTGACAGCGTGAATCTTATGCGACAAGCCAGATTGTGCAGGCACAGAAAGCATGTAAGTTCATGCAAGCATTCCCCAACTTGATGCATTGCGGATCCGTAATTATCTGCCCACTGCACAGTTTGGGTGGGGCTTGACTTCCCATACATTGCGTGAGATTCACATGCCAGATTTTGGCAGATCGGAGAGTACAACAGACCCCCAGACCCCCCAAAATAATGACCCTCAGCTTGAAGCAACTATCGCGTTCCCCCCGTTGACAGCTGGGCCATGACGCTGCTTGAGGTTGCACCTGATGCGAGGTGAGCCCTCTCTGATGTCACAGGAAGCCTATGAAGATCCTGTTAAGTCCGTTGTAGGCTTCGGTTTACTTCGGCCTGTTGGCCGCATCTGCTCGGACCAACACAAGACGCATGCTGCCACAGCAACACACAAATGAAGGTCGGCGAGACTGGTCGAAATCCGCGCTTTGCTGGTGGCTTGGGGTCTGTGCCACATGAGCAGAGATGTGCAAATAGACTCCGTTAGACGGAGTGTTTTGCTTCCATAACTGTATCTCGTGCAAGCCTTCTTCCGCTTTTGGGCCGTGAGCATCGCATAGCGAGCACTGGCGCACAGCGCCCCCCAATCTTCCTGAATGCGCTTGCCAGGATGCGTTGGCCACGGATCACTGCAGTGCCTGTATGGGCAAGGGGCGCTTGTCCTAGATGTAGAGCAATTGGATGAAGCAAGCGGCCGGTACTACAGCCCAGCCATCGTTTGCGGTGCAGTTGCTCAGACTCGGTTGTGATTCATTCAGCGCTTTTTTTCTCGAGTTTCGTTTTTTCCGCGAGCAGGGTTCGTGTGGCTTACTGCTGTTGTCTGCATTGTTTGCCACTTCTCGCTTCTTGGATGCGAGAAGACTCCGCTGTTTTTGAGGCCTGCGCCCGACTTCTCAGCAGTCCCGGGGATCTTGAAGGAGGCTGTGCCGTTCACAAAGCTGCAGAATGGACCCTGTAAGCTGAACCGCAACTCGTGCCAGAGTTGCCAGAGGTCGCTGACATGTACGACCAGCTGTCGCTACCGGAGCGCCACTCTGGCAGCAAATCGGGCAACTAAAGCTCGGCCACCAGGCTCAGCTGGCAACCGACCGGCTGAACCCAGAAATAGAAATGCGTTCGTTCGGCTTCGTCAGGTTGTGGGGCGTGTTGCCTTGAACATCCACGGGATTGCAACGCTGTTCAGGTCTGAAGGCTGATATGATGGTTGGCTGCGGCTGGATCCTTACGCATGGGCATGAGCAAGGTTCGAAGGGCGAAGCTTGTGCGCCTTAACCAGGCGGCCAGGCGTCGTTGACATGGCTTGCGCTTAGGGGTGCTGTTGTGAGCAGGCCTCACTCATTTTCCGACACAGAATGAGCAAGCATGCCATACGTGTTGCTCATGACCCAAAGCCCAAAGCTATCTCCGCGTTAGATAAGCGCAAGTTCTGTGACGGCGCACAAGCCATGAGCCCCGTGATAGAAGGCAGGGGAGCACACCGTCAAACACGAAAGGACACGCTTTGCTGCTTCCACAAGACGTGCTTTTGAGGCAGCACAGTTTTCAACAGGCCCCTCAAATGCCTTCGGATCTGGTCCCGGAGTAGGGTCTTGCTCGATCCAGTGCAGCCTGAAGCAGTCCACCAAGTGCAAAATCCAAGGGAATCAAGGCTCCTGCAAACCCAAAGACTTGTTTGTGTTGATCTCGACATGTTTGCGCACCGAGCTTCGTTTTGGGGGTTTAGCACTTTTTGATTTGAAGCTTGGGTGTTGCATTCATAAAAATTTTGGGGGCTTGTTGGAGTCATACGTGCCGCCAGGATTCTTGTTCAAGCACAGGGTTGGATTCGTTGGTGGAGAGACCCACGGAGCTGGCCCCCTCAAACTAGCTTTCTAAGAAAGCCGTGGACATGGAGCATTGTCCAATATTGATCCAAGTTCCGAAGTTCCGAGGCTGGCACATGCTGCACGAGGAAGACAAAGCCTTGGAGCCCTTGATGCGGGTCGTGCACTCCACCGGAGGCGTCAAAGTTCAAAGGGGCAGCGCATGCGCGAATGAAATATGTTCTTCTGCGAATGATTGAATTATCATTACCAGGCTCAGGACATTACCATGATCCCAAGTCTTTGCAAGCCCACAGGCATGTAGCAGACTTTTTGTCGTATTCCCTCTACTGCTGCAGGGAGGCGAGGGAGGCGAGGCATGCTTCACGACGCAGGCCTGGAGGTTGGAGACCAGCTGTCTGCCATCCTCGTGGACCTCACCTCAGGGAGGGGTGCAGGGGCGCATGTTTCGGATCCTGCTCCATGTTCCTGTATCAGAGTTTGATTCCCCGGCCTCCGTGGTGTCGCTTGGACTTAGTTGCGATGTCACAAGGTTTAGATTCTTTGCGGGGTTTGCTACAGCTTACAGGGACCTTCACCGGACAAGTGGTAATCAGACGAGGAGCTAGTTTTGCTCAAGACTTGCCGAGGCCATGCAGCTCCTTCGGAAGAAGAGCCGCTGGGGCCAGATCGTGCAAGCAGGTGGTCATGCGGAGCTCCCTGACCACCCGTGAGCAACCCCCCACTTGCAGGTGACAAAGCCTTTGAGGTTGCTGGCGGGAAATGGGTGGCTTGCTCAGATGTCCTGCTTGGTGTAGTAGTTCCAGCAGTTTCGGCAAAGTTTCTGTATTTCGGCTCTACAGGCCGTCTAGCAGTAAAGCAGCTCGAGTCGTGAGTAGAAGGCGACAATTTCCAGGAGGAGCATGACTTGCTCAGCGGAGATGATCGGCATTCTGCTCATGGTTGGCTCCGGTGTTTCCGTGACGTGCGAAATGGTTACCAGCAAAATCATTGAGAATATGCATTGGCCGTACTGGTACCTTCTGGCAGCCTGCTGCACTGGGGCAGCTTTCGCTAACGGGATGTACCTATGCTGGGCAGGTATCGGCTGCCCGAAGAAGCAAGACATCAAGTGGGTGGTGGCCAGGGCTCTTTTCGAGAATTTGCACTGGATGTTAGCCATTTGGGCAGTACTAGTTGGAGCAGCCCCGGGAGACGTGGCAGCATTGACCAGCATTGACATCATGGCTGCAGCTTTCCTGGGTCTGATATTCCTAGGTGAAAAAGTGACCATTCTCCACTTCGTGGCCCTTGTGGTGTCACTTTCTGGTGCTGTTTGCATCTCGCAGCCACAGTTCGTATTCGGAGCTTCGGAACAGACAGAGCAGTCCCCTCTTGGGTACTGCATGGCATTGCTATCTGGATGTTTCCAAGCCGGTGCTTTCGTTTGTGCAAGGAAGTCAAAAGACATCCCAGTCTCTTTGCTCACAATTGTCTCCCTGATGTTTGCTGTGCTCCTGGCCTTTGTGCCACCACTTTTGGGCCTCAGTTCTTCTGCACACGATGCTCTCCGGACTGTCCAGGAGGAACCGTGGCATGCTTTGGGGCTTCTCGCCATTCTGACCATATGGTGCGTGTTCTCGATTGTGCTTCCTGCAGCAGGTGCCACAAGATGTCCAGCTGCGGTCAGTGCGACCGTTTTCACATCCTCGAGTATGATCTCCGGGTACATAGCACAGACCACGGTCTTCAACGACGCACCAACGCCACTGAAGCTGCTTGGTGCAGGGTGCATGCTGTCAAGTGTGGTGATGATGGCGGTCCGCTGCCGCAACCGCGACACAGCCGAAGAACGCGACGCATCCTGCTCGGAAGAGCCCAATCCGACATCGACAGCAGACGAGACAGACAGCCTTGGCTCCTTCGTCGCCTCCGAGGTGTCTTTCGGGAAGTCCGGTCGACTCCGTCGCAGGGGCAATGTGTACAGCAACACGCCGACGCCACAGCGGCTCGGATCCTGTCTGCCCCTATTTGCCGTGTCTTCCGCCTGACTCAACTCGGCACGTCGAGCCACAACTGTCTCCCCAAAATCTGCACAGTTTGGGCAATGTAAAGGGCCTGCACACTGCGTAGGCCAATGTCACGGACTCTCTGGCTCTTCGTCGAAATGCAAAAGGCCGACCGTCCGTGCGGTCCCGGGGTACTGACTTTCCTCGAAGCAGCCTTGGAATGCATACAACAACTGAAATACTAATACGAAGACGAGGGAACATACCGGAACATACTCTAAGAGTTTACATGAAGACGAGCAGAGCATGTTCTTTACATCAAGCTCCTCTTGGTTGCTCACGTGTGCGCTGAGAAGGGCGGAATCCTGCAACCTGGCATGTCCTCAGTTTCGCGAAGAGCTACGTACCTCAGTCTGATTGTCGCAGTTCGCATCAACACAAGATGCGAGCTTCGAAGCTCGACAGATATCCAGACTTTCGTGACTGCGGCCATGGGCGCCCCGGCTGCCCCATCCGCGAATGCCACTGCAACTGCCTGCCTCATGCCGCAGCAACCTGGTTGTGTGTGGCCTGTCGGGCAAGCGACTCTTGGCTCGCTTAGCCCTGTGTTCATTCTGCCTCTCCGCACCTCCCCACTGGCCCACCTGAGGCCCTTCTGGCAGGAATACCCCATTAATGCCCCATCCCTCTGGCAGTTGGTTTGAAGATACAAGTCGCACAGTGTCTCCAAAACCATAGCTACAACTAAACTAACTGCTCCTATGGCGAGAAGCCCGACAACCTTCGTGACGACCGGGGGCTGAATGTCCAAAGTTGTGGCAGTTGAACGTTTCGCCACGAAAATGCCAAAGTTCCAGCAGGAACAACTGTCACTATGATCGCAGCTAGAGTACGCCCGACCACAGAAAGCAGCAATCAAGCAAAGGAAGCAAACCCAAATTCCAAAAGCTCAGATGTTATTCTGACGAGCCTACCACATGGGTGATGTGGTGGTCGGGGGCAAACCATGCTTGCCACCACTAGCCGCAGAGACCACTCCAAAGGGAGGCGGGGGTACACATCGGCTTGTCACATCTGACACAGGATACTCCGGCGTAGCGGAGTTCCACGAGATGCTGAAGCCGCTTCTACCTGCTGGGGTAGCCGCTTGGAGCTGCACCCGCTGGACCTTGGGCGAGAGCGACGTGCGTAGAAAGCTAGGATATGTCAGGTGTTTACATTATCTCAAGCCCATGCTGCGAAAGCTTCCGATCGCTCAGGTGTTGATTCCTCGCGACGGGCTGTGCTCACTGGAGGCCCTGAACCGCTACGTGAGGCGGAGCTAGGACGAGTGCTGGATTTAACCATAGCACATCGCATACATGCGTTCCTGATGTTCGGTAGTTCTTCGAAGGTGGGCGCCGGCATGTTTCTTCATCCGCATCGAGGCTGCCCCCAACGTGCGCGAGGCATGGACCCTCGGTGCTTTCCAATTTACATACATGTGGTGGGCCAACAGAAAACTCATCGCCACTGTCCACGGACACACTTCAGACTGCGAGGCAAACGGCTGGAGAAACAAGTTTGGACCAGAAGATCTCGTTCGGGACGAACATTGGACAGAGGCCTGTTACTGTGTACGGGGCTTCTTATCGAGTTCTCACTCTTATGGAAGCTTTCAGTGGCCTCACTTCAGCGACCATGAGCCTGCCGGAACTGGACTCTCACGGTGCATCAGTTTGCTGCGCAGGTGGGCTTGGATGACTGGGATGGATGGGATGCAGCAGCTTGGCTTCACTGCATGAATGTTGAATTGTGATCGCCATAGATCCGCCTTGATGCAGGACTTGAGCAAGTTTCAGTGTATCAGTAGCTGCGCAAGTCGATGGATTTACTGTTCACTCAGCGGCGTCCTGTCTCACTCGGCATTGCCGATTCGATGTCGGGAAGGTGGTGCAGCATGATGGAAATCAACAAACCCTGCTCCGAACTGTGGGGGGCTCGGGTTCCGTGATGTTTCGCGGCTGCTCGTGTGTGTTGGTTCCAACCACCGTGGAGCAATGAGGCAGCTGACTTGGCTCCACGTATCGCAGCACTTTGCCAGACGCCGGTGTCGTGCAAGCACGACTTCCTTTATTGAGTGCTTTGCAACCCAAACTCGAATAAGCGATAACATGCCCCGCTAATTGCCTCCGTTTTGCCGACCTCGTTCCAGCGATGCAGCTGTACCTCGTCTGTTGTGAATGTTGCGATGACCCTGTGACCTAGGCACTGACGAAGCACCGACCTGTTCCGGAGGCTTCTGTAAAGCGTACGGAGCTTCTGAGCGGCATCGAGGTAGCGACGTCAACCGACTGCTCTTGACCAGTTCACGGCAATTGAGGTTCACTACGCCCATGCCACTCAGACTGCAGCGTTAGGCGCATGTATATGTCTCTTGAAAGTGCAGGGCAGAGGCACCGACAGGTGGACGGCATATAAACCTTGATGGGATACGTGGGTTGTGAGGCCGGAGTGCATGAAGTTCGGCGGGGCTGAAGCATACGTCCCCTCGGAGCCCAGCGCGCGCGCAGAGGCCAGCGGCCAGGTGCTAACACGGCCTTACCGCAGCAATTAAGAATTTGAAAAAGATTATAGACAGCTGTGACATTTTGTTCCCCGCAAGTATCAAGAAGCATACCAGGATGCCGCTTTCAACGCGTTTGCGTGCGCTGAAGCAGAGATTAGAATGATTAGAAGCAACCGCCTTGAAGAGGTCGAAGCCACATCGACTCGTGTCCAACATGTTCGAGCAGAGCAAGCTGCAACTACAGGCTGGGTTCTTCTCGTGTTCGTGAGAACCACCCGCTTCGCGCTTCAAAGGCAGCCCGACACAGTCTCTGCAAAGACCCGAGAGTCGGGACAACCTCGATGAACTCGACGAGCTGGAGCTGCGCTCTTCAAACACGGCATGAGTGCATGATGTGCATCTGCAGTCCGCTTGCTTCAGACAGACAGCCTTGAAGTCAGCGAGCTTCTGTCTTATCCCTCACAGCCCAAAAAATGTCTCAAGTTCAAGTGCAGTTGCTTGGCACTGCACCTGAGATTGCCCTGTCTCACGACGTCCACATCCCTCTTGCCTCCGAAATCTCCAGGAGGCAAAGCCGGCTGCAAGCAGCCCACGCGACGACCACCCACTGGCGGCAGCCAGGTCCAACGCTCGCCGAAGTGCAGCTTACAGTTTTTATATGAGCCGAGTGAGCGAGGCAGCTGCAATAAGCAGAGGAGACTCTTGGATAACAGCCGTACCCGTGACTTCAGCCGAACTTCAGCCGACAACATATCGGCTCACAAACATCACCGCCAAAAAATCCAACAAACAACGTCTCTGCAACAACTGCTCTCTGTCTGCAGTTCTGGAATCCGCAGCCATGCCATGTCTTGATGTAGCTTGGTCGTGTGCAAGACATCACGAGCTCGCACTCCGTTGTGGTGTGATGTGGTGTGCTGTATATGCTTCCACAGTGTCAGGCCATCTTTGTTGCTCAAGCCACTGACTGCGCTTCGTCAGGCCTGGACATGATGTGGCAGGCTCCGACGAGAACTCTTGGTGGCAAGGCGGGAACGGCTGAATTTCTGCCTTCCGCCCTTTGGGATCCTCAACCATATCCCTGCTTTGCAGGCTACCAGGCGTGGTACAACCGGCCCAGTGGCTACAGCTCGCGAGGGGGCTGGAACTGGGCCTGGCACAATGACGATCAGGACGG